CCCAACGAGATGGATCAGCCAGGTGGCATCATTGATGGACTCAAGTGTGGCAGCGGTAGTGAGGTTGGTCCAGGATCGAACATTGTTTCGTTCTGCTGTGCATGGGGTAGCTATAAGTCGGTTCCGACTCGATGGCACCTGACAACAACAACAAATTTTTCTCCCCAGATCCCAAATTTGTTTGTCGACCCTGGGACAGCTAGTAGACATAAACAATGACCTGTGAGCCTGAGGAATGCCTGGCCTGGAGAGTTGTCATGGCTGATCCAGGCCATAGGATTTCTGGGAACACGAGAGGAAAACAGGCTGAACCTGCAACCGTTCCTCGCTGTGGATGCCCTAGGACTAGCTGGGGTCCTAGAGAAGCTTTACTTCTGATTTGTAATGGGTTCCAAGCCTGTCAAACAAACATTTCCAAAGAAGCCACGAGAAGCTTTTGCTCAGTTAGACCCTAGTCTCTTACCTTGTAATATCAAACGTATTAAAACACCTCCTAGTTATAGCCAGACCTTGCATGCTTCCTCCCTGCCTAGCACCCTGCCGTGGCTCCCACTGCTCATTTTTATGAGGTCTGGCTCCTGCTATCTTCTTCTTCCAGCTCATCACTTAGCCACCCTGACCGTCTCCTGACTATCTCACCACCCACCACAGGGCCTTTGCATGTGCTGCTCCCACCCCCTCTTCAATTAGTGAACGCTGACTTACTTGCCTTTCAGCTCTCAGTTTGAGTGTCATTCCCTTGGGGACAGCTTCCGAGCCCTGAGCTAAGTCAGGTGACTCACAGGGCTGTGTGTACCACTCTTGCCTGGTGTTATTATGGTTACCACATGCATTTGGGGACCATATCCCAGCTAGTGTACCACTGTGTCCCTCAAAATGAGTCTCCTTACTAACTCCATCTTGTCATTGTAAAGTGCTGTTGAGTTGGTTCCAACTCACAGCGACCCTGTATAGGGTTTCCGAACAGCAGCTGGTGGACTTGAACCACTGATCTTGGGGCTAGCAGACCAGTGCTTATCCTACAGTGCCACAACCAGGACTGTTTTTTTTGTTTTTTAATTGTACAGATGTGCAAATTGGAGCACAGACAGCTCAAATCACTGTTTAGCATTGTAACAAGGAAGCTTCCGCTGACAGAGCACAGTGGTTGTGCATGAGGTACTGTTGTTGTTGTTGTTGTTAAGTGCCGTCCAATTGGTTCCAACTCATAGTGACCCTGGGTAGGGTTTCTGAGGAGCAGCTGGTATGTTTGAACCGCCAACCTTGTGGTTCACAGTCCAGTGCTTATTCTACAGTGCCACACCAGGAATCCATGAGGTGCACTGGCCAGGAATTGAACCCGAGTTCCCCTCATGGGGGAGTCCTAGTGTAACACTGTAGGATAAACACTAGACCAAAAGGTTGGTTTGAAC